ATCATGGGCAGTTGATGAGGCTGGAGAGGTGGGCAGGGGCCAGGCTGAACAGGACCTCGGACGCCATTCTAAGGGGTTGGGCTTTTGCAAATTACAGGAAGCCCAGGAATTTAAGGGTTTTAAGTAGGGCAGCCATGTGTGTGGCCTGGGGAAGGGGCACGACCAAGGAGCACGGCCAGAGCCTCTCTTCTAAAGTTTTAGGGTGGCTACATACCCCAACCCCTGCTTCTCACTAGTAGGAACCCAGGTTCTGCCTCTCAGACCAGGGAAGGGGGGTTTATCTCACATGTCCTTGCCACCATGGACCTTAATAGCACCCCACGCCAGCTGGCATGAAGGAGGGAGTCTGCAGGTGGCAGAGCAGGTGCAAAACTGCTATCGCCCAAACTTCCAGGTGGTCCCTGGGTGCTTGAGTGAGCCCCAGGCTGCTAACGCTGGAGGCCCTTCGAGGTCATCTAACCCAGCCCTTCCATTCTATGGATGGGAACCCTGAGGCCAGGGATGGAGGCAACCTGTCCAAGTTCTCATGGCGCAGTCAGGACTAGAATCTAGGCCTGTGGGCTCCCTGTCTGGTTTCCTCTCCCCAGATAGATCTGTGCTCAAAGCTGAGTCCTGCAGTTCCCTTATTAGCTCGGCGACCTGAAGCAAGTGACTTGGCTGTGCAGTTTTGTCATCTGGAACATGGCATAACAATATCTCCCTTTTGGGGTTGTTGTGGGGAATAAATGAAATAATGCAGGTCAAGTGTCTCTGCAGCTTAATGCCTGGCGGGGAGTGTGCACTCAGGTAGAAGGAACTGTTCTCTCCTTCCGTGTTCTGTTTCTGCTCTCAGCGTGTTATCCCACTGCCTGTCTCTGGTGGTGGGGGTCTTGGGATGGTGCAGGGGCTCCTAGAGCAGCTGAGCCAGGGGGGCACTTCTCAGATTGTCCAAGAAAGGCAGGGGCATACCTTGGCTTATTTGGGTTTAGGGCAAATACAGATGTAAAAAAGCAATCTTTGGTCTGGGTTACAGCCCAATGGTGTGTTCTTTTGGATGACAAAGTAAAGTGAAAAATATTGAGAGAAGTGCGTGTGTAATTTTGCACGGGTGGGATGACTTTACCAGGCAAAAGGACTTTCCCTTTACCAGGCAAAAGGACTTTCCCGTTTACAAAGGGATTCATGGCAGGAGTCCTGTAAGTTACCAGTTCCGCTCAGGGCTTTCACTCAGGAGTCAATTTCCCTAGCATGATTCACACCAAGTTTCTAGGAAAGGGCCTTCTGCCACCCAAATAGTCTTGTCATCTCTGGCCTTCTTTCAAGATTCCCTTGAGCTTTGAGCTGAAGCAGCAGAATCTTGGAATGGGAACAGTGTAGCCGCTATAGGTTGTAAGACCACTGTGATTTTATGTGCCATCGAGAAAGAAAAAACATCGCCAGTTGTAACGGACGTGCAACAAGCCCCAATTTCAGAAATGTTAAAATGTGAAAAAAATATGCATCTTAGAATCAATGTTTGAGAACCAGGGTCAGCTGGATAGGTTAGTACTAATGGCAGAGTTGAGAATATACCAATGGGGCCAATCCCCATATCATACTTGGCTTAAGATTATTTAACGGTTATTTTTCCTATGTGAAAGAAACCACTAATACGTAGGTTCTCTGAGAACAGACACTGGGTCTGTTTCGTTCACCACCGTATCCCTCTCGCGTCACCCATAGTAGGTGTTCAACAAATATTTGCTCAACAAGTAAATAAAACAAAGCCGCATTGTAAGACATGTGGCAAACCCAGACAAGAAAACAAATCATTCAGAATTCCCCCACTGTGGGTATTTTGCCTTATTTCCTTCCAGTCTTATTTCCTATGAATATACTCTTTTATATACGTGTAAACATAATGTAATATTAGATTTAGCTCCAGGATGTGTCTTTGTATTTCTCTATTAATATGAATGAAATGATGAAATGAGATGGTGTGGAAATGCTTTGAAGACTGTAAAATGTTTAACCAAATATCTTATTATTACTTATAATAACCATAGCAATGCTAATATGAATGAGGCTGATTTTCTGAAAATACACTTCAAAGCCAACAATCAATTTGTCCTCTGAAGCTGGGAATATGTTCTGTCCCTGACCGCCACGGGGAGTCCCTCTGTTTCATGCTGGGAAGAGAAAGAGACTTAAGGGTTCTGAGAAGTTATCAGCTCCAGATTCCCACCAGGCCCAGAAATTTCTCTGGTGTCAGTAAGGGGGGGTCAGTGTGGAGTGGGGAGGACAGAGCACATCTCTCAAGCCAATGACACAGCAGCCTACAGAGAGCTTCCTTCTTTCCAACCTTCGCTAGCGGTGAGATGGAGTTACTCTGTGGGTTTCAAGGAAGGCTGTTCACTTCCTCTGCATGGTAATAGCAATGTGGACACCAGAGAGGTGTCAGCACAGGTAAGCCATGCAGGATCAGAATGGTGGCTACTTTCAACAAAACACAAAATCAGATTCGCATTGGAAAACTAGCCCCCAATTCACCATTAGATAGTCAAAGAATTCATGGACACACTTATTGTTCTAACCCATGCCTGGTTCTTCGAAGGGAGGTAGATTGACTCACATCACACACAAAAGGCAGGACTAGCCAGGCTCCTCTGTGCCCTCTTCCCCATGAGGCCTCAACCTTGGCCTACAAAGACTTGGAAAAACACTCACATAGTTTCCTTCTTTCTTTCCTTTTCTTCCTTCCTTCCTTCCTTCCTTCCTTCCTTCCTTCTTTCTTTCTTGTCATTAGCACTTCATTTTCATTGAAATGGATAGTTTAGATGAAGAACAGAACTAGAATAGTGTTAACAATCGACTTCTGAAAAATCACATTTGTATAAAGGAAATAAAAGAGGCCAGCAGAAATCCAAAAAAGGTGCAGCTCGTATTACTGCACTTGGATGAATTATGCTGTTCAGGGTAGCGTAATACTACTTAGGCCACACAAGCCCAGGAGCAGGAGACAAACAGAGGGCAGAACTCCAGGTAGTATTTATTCTGGATTCTCCAGTGAGCTCAAGAATATTTAGCATTTTTGAAACATTCAGCTAAAGCTCTTTACGAAAATGACCGTGTCTTCAACACGTTTTTACGCTAACGTAGTTTCTCACAGCTCAACGGCAAATCCCTGGGATGACCCTAGCCCCCTTAAAGTCCCCGCCTAATAACTCAAGACTGCCCAAAGAATTTACTCTTTGTTTGTTCCTGCCAAGACCAAAAGGTAAGGGCCCCTGTCTCCCTGTCTCTGCAGGAGGAGAGAAGCCTAACTGTGATGGGGTCCTATTAGCAAACTTGGATGGGTTCCACATGCACTGACCCCCACCCCCTAACTTCCAGCTTTGTGTAATGCTTCATCTCCCTGACTCTGCTCAGGCACCCTCTATCCCCCCAACCCTCCCCCTCATTTTCTCTTTAAAACGCCAAGTGTCTTCGGCACAAATCGAAGTTGAGTTCAGTTCAGGCTGAATCCTCTTCCCTAGTGCAATCGTCTATTACTGATTAAATCTGTCCTCGCTGCTTTGTTTATCTGACAGCACTCGAAGGAAGGCTTGTTGCTACACGCAGGCTAACAGCTTGGGCTCCGGGCTCTCCGCACACCTTGACCTGCTAGTCTGCGTTCACGCTTCCCGATTCAAATCCTCAGCCTTGAACTTGGCTCTGTGCTGTCTGCTCCATGCCCTCCCTCTTTGTCCTCTAGGATGAAGTTTTCTGGTCGCTCCACCAGGCTCCCACCTTGCACACTCGTGAATACTCCCCTTCTGCCTACACTGCCTGCCTCTATCTCTGAGCCGCTTAGTTGCCGGGCCAATCTCCCAGCCTTCTCTGTCCCAGTCTCAGAGCCCCCATCCCACCTGCTACATGTTGCAGTGGAGGCTGATCTTGATATTTAGCAACTGCCCAGGCATTAAGTACAGGGAATAGTTCGTGAGGCCTGCTCCATCAATGTTTTCCCAGAGATTCAAAACTACAGCTCGCTTAGAGAGTTAAAACCGGTTTCCGATACAGAAGATCGCTTTATAAAATGGCTAAGGAATCAGTGATCAGTACTGGATGAGAGATGAGTTGGGCCAAATTGTAAAAACAAGCGGAGCTCCTAAGTTACGTGTGTATCTCTTTGCTGACTGCTGCTCCCGTTCTCCGGGGTCTCCTTTCCTCACACCCTAGAGCTGGGCTCCCTGTCACTCATTCACCTCATTCTTTGCTCCAGGCCTCCCAGGGCACGTTGTCTTGGGTGACCTGGTTTAGGACTCCCTCAGAGTCATAGGCTCTCCAGCTTTTATTCTAGGCAAACCAGGAGATCAGAGAAAAAAAAGCATCCCCATGTCTCTCTGCAGTCCTCTTTGGAGGCTTCCTCCCCACTGAGAATTTACAAAGGTCTCCCTTCTGAGATGTGTAAGCCATGTCACATCTGTGCCAATCCTCACTCCACGGACGCACAGAGTTGCTGTAGGAGTCCTGGCTGGCTGGGAGGGTCCCTCCCCTGGTGCTCAATCAGAAAGCAGACAGGAACCCACGAAGAGGCTTCCCTCCACTTAAGCTCTGTTACAAGAGAGCGATGCTCTATCCCTGTTCCTTTTTGCAGGCCACTTGGCTTTGTAGTAACACAGTGATGAAACACACCAAACCCTGATGAGCAATTTCCCTCAGCATCCACTGGACTCCCACCCCATCCCCACAAAGATTTTTTTCCCAGAATGTTTTGGGAAAAAAACCCCCAACCAGTTGAGTGAAAAAGCAAATAAGCTGGTTTTCCCTCATGCCCAATTGCAGAAACCAACAGGCGGTACAGGAGAATTGGATTACAGAGGTTAGCCTGATACATTTCTCCAATTTCAGGGTGAGTCTCTTTACTGAGCCCAGCCCTGCTCCAGACTCCTGGGTGGAGGCAGAGCCTTCCAGGAGTGGGAATCCCATTTCTCCTCCTCATGTGGCGGGTGGCCGGGAAAGACCAAGGACCGCTGATCCAGAGAGCCCTGGGGACTTACCCTCTGCTCCTGTGTGGCCACGAAAGTCTGGAACCCTGGTGCCACCCCAAAGCCTAGCTCTTGGATGAAAGGCGGCTCAGACTGACTGTGGATCTGAACCTTCACGCCTGCTTCAAACGTCGTTTCCTCTGAAAGAACAAAGATGGACAGAGCCATGGGTCAATGATAACAGATGCTCATGGAGTCCTGGGACTGAAAAGCTCAAAAGGATGCTGGAAAGGCCCCATGGTAGGCAGAATCATGGCCCCCCAGAGATGTGCACATCCTCGTCCCTGGAAACTGTGGCTGTGTTACCTTACATTGGTGAAAGGGATGCTGCAGATGTAACTAAGGATTTTGAGGTGGGGAGATTGTCCTTGGTCATCCAGGTGGCCCAATGTGATCACAAGGGTCCTTACAAGAGGGAAGCGGCAGGATCAGAGTCAGAGAGATGTGGAAAAATCTATGCTGCTGGCTTTGAAGATGGAGGAAAGAAGGATCCATAAGCCCAGGGATGCAGGCAGCTTCCAGAAGCTGGAAAAGGCAAGGGAATGGATTTCCCCTAGAGCCTCTAGAAAGAACGCAGCCCTGCTGACACCTTAAAATACATTTTTGACTTCTGGCTTCCAAAGCTGTAAGGTAATAAATTCGTGTCGTTTGATGCCTCTAAGGTTGTGGCAATCTGTTAGAGTAGCGATCAGAAACGAATTCAGGTCAGCTAGGCCAACCAACTTTTTGCTTCAATCTGCAAAACTACAGAATGGGATTATGAAGTGAGTTAAGCACCTATTCTCCTTATTTACTAACTTCTCTACTGGGCCATGAGCTGAGGCGAGGAGATCAGGAGAAGGAAAACACGATGATACAGCAGTTGAAATAAAAATACGGGGCCACGGGGCTTCCCTGGTGGCGCAGAGGTTGAGAGTCCTCCTGCCGACGCGGGGGACACGGGTTTGTGCCCCGGCCCGGGAAGATCCCACAGGCCGCGGAGCGGCTGGGCCCGTGAGCCATGGCCGCTGAGACTGCGCGTCCGGAGCCTGTGCTCCGCAACGGGAGAGGCCACAGCAGTGAGAGGCCCGCGTATCGCAAGGAAAAAAAAAAAAATACGGGGCTTTCCTGTAAGCCCCTCGGAGCTGCAGGAGATGGGCAACTAGAAGAGAAGCTTCTCCCCTTTTGTTCTTTGGCAGGAGAAAGGGCCCTCGGCAGTGAGGGGGCGAGGGACAGCAGAAAGGGATGGGATGGCAGAGCCTGGCTCATCCTATATGTTGGTGCTCATAATTGGCGAGAAGTGCACCTATGGGATCTATCAGCCTTTCCTGGGTCTCCTTCTCTTATTCTTTGCAAACAGCCTGAAGCACGAGTTGTCCAAAATGCAAATCTGAGTCACTTATAAGGAGCCCAATCTCCTTCACCTGCCCCTGTTCCAGCTTTGCTCTGGGCAGCCCCCTGCTTCGTGGCACTATGTGTTCCAACCCACCGGGGCCGCCAGATTGGTTGTTACTGATCCCTGCTCTACATGGATGCACATGCATCTCCTTCTGCCTGGAATGTCTTTATTTACTTATTTTTGTGGTACGCGGGCCTCTCACTATCGCAGCCTCTCCTGTTGCAGAGCACAGGCTCCAGACGCGCAGGCTCAGCAGCCATGGCTCACGGGCCCAGCCGCTCCGCGGCACGTGGGATCCTCCCGGACCGGGGCACGAACCCGCGTCCCCCGCACCGGCAGGCGGACTCTCAACCACCACTGAGCCACCAGGGAAGCCCCTGTAATGTCTTTTGCTTGGTCCACCTGACCATCTCCCTTCTCATCACTGAAGATTCAGCCCCCAGCCCCAGCCAGAGCCACTCCTTCTCCTGCCTGGTTGTGTCCTTCACATACGCCTGGTAAAGCCTCTGCCACACCACGTCATAATCCTTTATCTCACTGTCTTTTCCACAAGGCTGAGCATCGTTGAGGCCAAGTTCAGGGCTTTCTCTCTGGATCTCAAAGGCCCTGCACACGGCTGGGCATCTTGCAGGCACCCAGGGAACGCCTGTTGCATGAACGAGTGAGAGATTCGTGACTCCGACCTTTACTCACTTATTCATGGGCAAGGCCAACCTAGAATCCATATCAAGGAGTATTCTGAAACTAGAGAATAGGGAAAGGATGGGTAAATGCAGAAATCAGGGAAGATAAGAGGGGATGGAGGTCAGAGGTCAAGGAGGGGGAGCGTGTCAGCCCCAGGGCCATAGCGTAGGGAGAGTCTGGGGACACGTTCTAAAGCTGGCACAGAAGAGAAAGGCGAGGAGGAGGGAAGGGCCGGAGCCAGGCACGTGAATGCGCAGGACCCAGGTCAGCCTTGGGGCCCGTGACCGAGGCAGGGGGAGGCATCCAGAGCTGGGTGAGAATTCCAAGGTCGGAGGCACAGGCCAAGGTTGAGTTGGCAGACAGGGACCAGAGGAAGAATAGGCAGCGCTCTCACAATCTAGACGAGGAATCCAGTGGCTGACGTGAGGTTCAGGCAAAAGAGAGCCTCAGCCAGGAATCCTTTCATACACATCTTCGTGGGGTGGTAGAGAATCCCATGAAACCCACGAACACCTCCCCCTTTCCTCCAGCGGAGTCAAGTCTTCCGCCATCTCTTTACCCAGGTGGCTCCATGCAAACTCTTGCCCCTACGTCCCTGCGTGCCTGTGGATTTGTGTCCATCTCCCCCATGGATGGCGGATGACTCAAGAGAGGAGGGTGCTTCTTGCTCAGTCCGGTGCCCATTGCCCAGCCTGGGGCTTGGCCCACAGGTGCATCAGGGAGGGGGCCGAGGGGGAGGGAGGATGGGGGAGATGAGGAAGGCTGAGCGGCCAGCTTCCAGTGGCTGGTGTGCTCCAAGGTCCGCCCAAGAGAGGGGTTGAGGAGCGGCCAAGGAGCCCAAAGAACAGGCTTTGGCGGGGGAGAAGTGAACACACAGTGATACTGGGATTCAGGGATGCCCATGCTTGGGTGAGTGAAAAGCACATTCAGTGAGCTGTTGGGGGTGGGAGAGGAGAGATGCCAAAACGTGTTTTCCAGAGCTAGTGAAGCTGTGTGCCTGCGATATAAGGGAGCTTAAGCAACCTCAGAGCCAGTAGGACAGGTACCTGTGGTTACAGGGAGAAATGAGAAACGAGGCCTTGGTGTCAGAAGTGCTGTGAGTAATGGGCAAAGAGGACAGCCAGGCATGCCTGTGTTAGTGAGAGCCGCCCAAGGCTACTCAGACTGGCTTGGGGTTCAGATGGGGAGTTTATTCAAGAAGCAGCAGGGGCTAGAGCAGAGTAAATTCCTAAAGTATTCTCATATCATCACAAACATGGATGGGGATGCAAGCTGATGGGCAGAGTCAGAAGAGATACGAATAAGGTTTCTGCCCTCTTCAGGATAATGCTGTCTAGAGGAACCTTCTACCAAGATGGAATGTTCTATAATCCTTGCTATCCAACCTGGTACTGTTAGCCACATGAAATGTGACTCATGCAAGTGAGGAACTGAATTTATAATTTAATTAATTAATGCCCCCCCCAACTTTACTGATGCATAATTGACAAATAAAATTGTATGGTATTTAAAGTGCACAGTGGGATGATTTGATGTAGGTATACATTTTGAAAGGATTCCCCCTATCAGGTTAATTAACATATCCATCACTTCACATATTACCTTTCTGGCCTGCTTTGTTTATCTATTTTTTATCCAATTGAATTTTTTTTTTTTTTTTCGGTACGCGGGCCTCTCACTGTTGTGGCCTCTCCCGTTGCGGAGCACAGGCTCCGGACGCGCAGGCTCAGCGGCCATGGCTCACGGGCCCAGCCGCTCCACGGCATGTGGGATCTTCCCGGACCGGGGCACGAACCCGTGTCCCCTGCATCGGCAGGCAGACTCTCAACCGCTGCGCCACCAGGGAAGCCCCCAATTGAATTTTAATTAATTAAACTTAAAATTAAGTAGCCACATGTGGCTGGTGGCCACCTTACTGGGCAGTGCAGTTGTAGAATGTCACCTGTGAGCAGATCCCAGCCCTCTCGGAGCAGTAGGGGTGACAAGGGCTTCAGCACCCCGCTTTCCTATGCAGGTGCCCCTGTGGGGTCTCTTGTCCAGAAGCAGGAGATCTGGGTGGGGTTCTGAGCAGCACAACTGTGCCTATTTGTAGTCAGCCCATGATTATAGTCCCAGATCCTCCCGGTCCTGCTTCTCCCAAAGTACCACTTAGTCTCTCATCTCCAGGTAGTTCCTCTTCCTTCACAGAACTGTCCTCAGCTCCCCTCTATGGAGTAATTCTCCAGTTTGATAGTGAATAACAGCCTCCCTCCAGTCCCTGCCCTGTACCCACCCTCGGCTCCTGCCTTTCCTGGACATGGCACACTATCAGTGCAAATATGAAGACACACTTTAAGAAATGAAGTGATCAAGCATAGGCCGTTAGAGCCAAAGTCTCCGCCCATTTACCTCCAACGGTCTCAGACTAGAATGCACGTTGAAATCACATACGGAGCTCTGCGTGGCCATCCCCGGGATCCACTCCCTAGAAATTCTGATTCTGTCCCTCTGGGGTGAAGCCCAGGAAACTTGCATGCCCAGGGATTCTGATACAAATTATGTGAGGCCAAACACATTTGGGCAGCAGCGATCTAGTCCAGAGAGGGGAATTGACTTGCCCAAGGTCACACAGCAAGTCAAGAGCAGGGGCCAAGAGCCAGGTCTTCTGACTTGCAATTTGTCACTCTTCCTCCCCCACTAGGGGTGTGGTTTATTTCACGTGAGCGGATGTCCTGGTTCATAGCCCTGGGGTTCTGAGTGGATGCTGGAGAAAGGGAATATCTCTTTCATTGTCATATCCCCTAAAGTCCCTAGCATGGTGCCTGGAACAGAGCAGAGCTCAATAACTACTCGTTGAATGAAACAAATTGAGTGAGGGAGTGTCCTCTGCTGAGCTGACTGTTCCCCGCCCTTTCACCAGCTGTGAGTCTGCCAGGGTCTGGCTGGACCCTAGGAAACACCAGCACTGCATGTCACCCAGTGACGGGCTTGCTCCCATGTTGCACAAGGCAGAAGGTCTCATTCACCGACATGCAGCTGGGCTGCACAGAAAACAACAGCGACAGCAAGAACAATAACAATAACAAGAACTCGGACCAC